ATAACAGTCCAACAACAGTCCAACAACAGTCTAATAACAGTCTAATAACAGTCCAACAACAGTCTAATAATAGTCCAATAACCGTCCAATAACCGTCTAATAACAGTCTAATAACAGTCCAACAACAGTCTAATAACAGTCCAACAACAGTCTAATAACAGTCCAACAACAGTCTAATAACAGTCTAATAACAGTCCAACAACTGTCTAATAACAGTCTAATAATAGTCCAATAACCGTCCAATAACAGTCTTATAATAGTCCAATAACCGTCCAATAACAGTCTAATAATAGTCCAATAACCGTCCAATAACAGTCTAATAATAGTCCAATAACAGTCTAATAATAGTCCAATAACGTCCAATAACCGTCTAATAATAGTCCAATAACTGTCCAATAACCGTCTAATAATAGTCCAATAACCGTCCAATAACAGTCTAATAACGGTCCAATAATAGTCTAATAACGGTCCAATAATAGTCTAATAACAGTCCAATAACGGTCTAATAACAGTCAAATAACAGTCTAATATCGATGCCGTTCACTCCCCTCTGGGCCACCGTATTACGGAGCTTTACAGTGAGTTTCAGCTCCCTGTTGATCTGTTGTCTCTCTCCCTCTGCCTGTGTTGTATCGCAGCCTCTCTGTGGTTTGTTTTCATAGCCGGTCTGCTCCGACTGAAACTGCTGTTTTTATCATCTACGTCGGTGAATTAAGGATTTATTTCCACCAAACCAGAGTTGGTGATTGTTGGAAACACTAATGAGTTTCATGAGTTTTATTCTCTCTCATCGTTTTTGGTCGGAGATGCTTTAGTGCGCCATCTTGTGTCAAACTGATTGTATATATAAACGTTAATCACTTGTTGTTTCTGCTGGAAATAAGTTAATCAGTTATTGTAGATTTAAAGTTCTTCGTGTTGGAACGCTGTCGACTGGAATCATTTATGTTTTCCAATAAGATTTAAGTCAACTGACATTTTTAAAGAATCTTCTCAGATCCGTGTTTTCAGTCTTCAGCTGTTTCCTGTGTTTCTGCTAATAGATCTTTACTTGATTTGAGGCAGTTTTAATAACTGATGTTAAATATATTCCAACCCATCCTGCCTCCACTGGTGGTTTCATACAGATCCTCCCAGGAAACATTTTGGGTCTAAAGCAGTCAGATAAGAGTTTGTCCACTGTTAGTAACTGAGTATTAAACTCCCATCAGTGTTTGTTCAGTGGAAACTGTCACGAATAGAAGAATTTAAAAGGCAGATCTCCGTGAATCATTAGAGAGCTGCTCTCTGTCGCTGTCTGTTAATGTTTCATCACTTTATGTCTTAATGGTTTATAGCTGTGGGAACTTTATGACTGGGCGGTGAGCCTGTCAGGCGCTTCCTGTTCGCTGAGGAGCGGCTCCGTCAATGACACACTGTACAGGTCGTCACATGTGACATATGTCATCGTATGTCATCGTATGTCAGACTGGGTTATATGTCCACTCACCAAAGGAACAAAGGTCGGCTGTGTTAAAATCTGTGTTTGTTCAACGTCATGCTCGGGTTTGGTTCAGTGCTAGCGGTACTGTTGCTATGGTTACCTCCTTGAGCTTTCCTCCAGCCAATCAGAGAGCAGGATTTTCTGTTGCTTTGCTCAGTCCGATCACAGTTGAGCAACTTCCTCCTCTCCTGTCCTTAGATATGCTACATGCTAGGCTAATCTATGTTGGAAAGACAACCACATTTTCAAGATTGTTAAAAGATAAAAGAGACATATATATTGTCACATCTTAGCTTAACAATTATATTTATATAATGCTAAATTATAACAGAAGTTATCTCAGGACAGTTTTCAAACTCTCTGTACTCTTTATAAGATTACGATGTGACCGCACGTAGCGTGTGTCTTCAGGATGTGGTTGTCTTTTAAACACAGATTAGCCTAGCAGGAAGTTGATCGAGGCTTGCTCAACTATAAAGGTTCAGTTGATGATGTTTAAGAGACCTTGAGGAAGTCCTTGAATATTTCCCAGGTGTCCTTGAGTGAGTAAAGTGCTAACAGAGCCTGGAGCATCGGGGCTATTGTTGATATGTGATTGACAGCGTTGAACTGCAGCTTGGTTAAACTTTACCTTCTGGACTCGCAGCAGTTGGGTGTGGGTGCAGTTTCACAACAATGTGGATCATTTTCAGGGTCAGTCGGGGGTGTGTTCACATAAAGGTAACACACACCGACAGCGTGATGCACAAAACACCTTCATCTGTCGTCACACATGTAAGAGGACACACCTGTGTTGACTTGATGTGATGCATTATGGGTCAATTAACTTACAAATAACACTAAGCAAATCTTCTGTATGTGCGAGTGTTGATCTTCAGTTTGAAAAAACTGTAATTTTTTGTCTTTTTAATGTTTAATTAAGGATATTTACAGTGTAAACAATGAGCTATAAATCCAGGTGAACTCTGCTATAATACAATAATCTGATAAACAACATTTATTCAACTTCTATCATTATACAACATATCTGTCAGTTAACTAACTAATACATTAAGATTACACAACTAATACTTTTTACTGTTAATGTCACTAATTTTACATCATTTCATAAATATATTAACAGTATTTAACTTGAATTTAACAGTTTAATCCATTAAATAAACAGTAAATATGCGAAAAAAAGGAAATCTTCTTGAAATAAGCAGTAATTTCATGTTATTTTACATTAGACGTGTAAATTCAGAGGATATTTTTGTAATTTTATTAATATTTCCTATATTTAAAGAATCCACTTTCCACCACTGCTTCACTGTGAGCTTGTTGGTATCCAGCAGAGTAATATCTTCTGTGATGATTGAGGTTTGTTTGATTCGTGCAACCTCCAATCCACCTCGTCCTGAACCGAACTGCCTCTTTTCAGGAAGAGGAGGCGACGGATGTGTTGCCATGGTGACCGTACGTCACCACAGTGTTTGGACATCAGCTCTGACCTCTGCGTTATCTGTCAGCCATAAAGTGTAACCGACCGTCTCAGTGAGAGTGGAGTCTTATCAGCAGGGTCATTAAAAACCTCCCCCACAGACAGACAGGTGTGGTCTTCAGGTGTGTGTCTCATCTAAAGGACACAATGGGAGCAGTTACAGGTTTTATTAGTCCTCTGAACAACAGATTAAACATATTCTACAGCAAGGAGACAGGAACAATGTAAGAGCAGGAATAAAAATACATGTGAAGTCTTGTAATGCATCAATTAATCAGACAGAAGTGTTTAAAATAAGCTTTCTGATCAGATCCTGATTTTATTTTTTGTTTTGTTTACTTTCTGGGTGTTTGTTCTTGTTCACTAATGATAAAGTGATTTTCAGCTTTTTACAGGAACAGTAAGCACTATCTAATAAATTTAATGTTAACTTTTATTTGTGGATCCATGATGTTTCTGTTTTATAACGATGTGCTCAACTCAAGATTTGATTCAATTCACGAAACGGGAGTCATGATATGATTGTTTTTAACAAAATAAGATTGAAGACAAATTAAATTATTAGATTGTTTATTTGTCAGTAATTCTGAGCTGTAAACTGTATAAAATAATGTATATTTCCTTTTCTTTGTAAAACTAAAACTGCTGTCGTTGCACCTTGATACAGAACGAGAGTGACGTAGGATGTCAGAGAAGCGAAGTAGTAGCAGTAATAATAAGTAGTGGCGCCCTCTGCTGTTTAAAAACAATATTACGATTCAGTTTCTATCTGATTTGAATCTTGACATATTTTTATATAACCTCAGCCTGTCCAATAGAAACAGTCTCATCTCCAGTAAAATTTCTGGTTTAAGTCAGTTTCAGCTCATTAATTGATTGATTGATTGATTGATTGATTGATTGATTGATCTCTCTCCCCAGGTTCTTCCCTCCCTGTCCCCCCTCCCCCAGCTCCATCATGCCCATCCTCAAAAACCTCCCAGTGCGCCTGAAAGGCGGCGGTCCGACTCTAGAGAACGCTTTGATCCTGCGCAGGATGAGCCTCAACATCACCCCCCACCACCACCATCACAACCCCTTCGGCGACAACGACGACGACAGCATCCACAGCAACGGCGGCCATGGCAACCACTGGTCACCCGGCAGCTCGCTCCTCGACGGGGACGGGCCGAGGGACCGCAACCCGTTCGAGGATGAGGAGGATGAGAACGAGGCCAACGAGGGGAAGAAGGGGAGCGGAGGTGGAGGCGGAGGTTCGGGGAAGGGATTTAAGTTCAAGTCCCCGCTGAAGACTCTGGGAAAGCTGGGGAAGAATCTGAGATTATCGGGGAGGAGCAAAGGAAGCGAAACACCCTCCCCACAGGGGTCGCTGCAGGGAACGCCTTCACCTGCAGAGAAGAAGAAGAGGGGGAGGAGGAGCTCTGAAGGAAGTTTGTTGAGGTAAAGTTGAATAAAATCTGTTCAGTTAAGGTGGAATAAAGGGAAGAGCGTTTAGAGGAGTTTGTGGAAGATGATTGAGGCTTGTTGATGTTTACATGGACCAGGGTACTTTGTGTACTTTGAGGGACGGGATAAGAGGATTTTGTGGAGTTAAAGAGGGATGATGGGACTTTATCAAGAGTGTATGAAGGTACAGAGGTATGATGAGGGTTTGTCGAAGTAAAGATGGACAAGGTACGGTTGGAGGGAGGTTGGTGAGACACAGGTAAGTTGTTTAGATAAAGTGGGATGATAACAAGGACGAGGGGAAGTTAAGATAAAATACGATAACAGTTCACTTCTCTCTTGTCTTCACCAGGTTTGCGGGGAAATATCGCGACACCCTCGGCTCCCGTAAGGAGACTTTCACAAACGGCGAGCTAAACTGTTCGGAGAGCGAGTGCGACTCCACCAGCCGCCGTCTGTCCTTCATGAAGATGGTTGGCCTGGGGAAGCTAAAGAGGGAGTCCATGAATGACCACTCGTCCCAGGGACCCGAGGAGCAGCCGGTGAAGGAGGAGGTGGTGGAGGAGGTCAAACCCAGAGAGCCGCTGTCAGGTAAGAAAAGAGGACGTAACTCACAGATGAAGGTCGAGGTCAAAGACACAGAGGTGGTTGTCGGGGAGGATTCACTTACTGAGTCCAACCTGTAGGAGTAGCAGCATATTGAGTCGGTCAGATTACATCCGGAATGTTTTTGTGGCTCTTTAATCTGAGGAAACTTTTAGGGTTTGAGGTTGATTGATGTTTGGTTGATCTGTGTCGGCCTTGTCTTGAACCCTGAGCAGATTCTGGGTGTTTTCTTTCTCCTGTCACAGATTATTCACTGAGACTTTAGATTAAAGTGATTTTGATGAAATATCACAATTTCTTTTATGAAAACATGAATTTTAAACCTGTCGTTGGGTTGTGGGGTTCTGACTGCAACCCGACCGTGGATACGTGGACAATAATGGATGAAACTGGACCTCTGAGCTTTGATTAATTTGTGGACATTTGTATCGTGTCTTTGGCGGGTTTCATTGGAGCTGGTTCAGTAACGAGATGATGGAGATCAGTCAGGACGGATGTTTTGATTCTGTGCATCTCTTTGGATCTAAAATCACTCCACATGCTCTCATATAGTCTCTCTTTCTCTCTCTCTCTGTCTCTCTCTCTGTCTCTCTCTGCCCCCCCCTTCTCTCTGTCTCTGTTAAAGTTGTCGTCCAGTTTGTTTTCATACCACCCTGACTGATCTTATCAATGTCTGCAGGCTATTTTAGACCCTGACAATGAATGGAGAGAGAGAGAGAGAGAGAGAGAGACAGAGAGACAGAGAGACAGACAGAGACAAACAGAGAGACAGAGAGAGAGAGAGAGAGAGGGAGAGACAGAGAGAGAGGTATTAACATACAGTGAAGGTGACCTTGGGTCCGACTGGGTTTCATTAAGATGTTGTAATTCTCCAGTAGTTTCCACAAAGACACTGGAATGTAACTGGGAAGTGTGTGTGTGTGTGTGTGTGTGTGTGTGTGGTACCATAAGCATTGGGCCGGTCCTGGAAACTTTCTAAGGGCGTCTATTGTTTATCGCACCCTGTTTACTCTACTGTTTTGTAATGAATGATTTTAGTGTGTGTGTGTGTGTGCTCAGTTCCTCCACACCCTTGTTTACATGTTAAAACACTTTATCTGCAGTATAGTTCCCACTTTGTCACACTGAAATAAACAAAGATCCTGTATACTGTATGTGGGGTTCAAATTCCTCAAAAAGATATTGAGGGTGTAATTTATTGCCTCCAAAAGTGCAAACCAGTAATAATATTTACAGAAAGTGGGGAAAAATTGGGAAAAGCAAAATTACAAGTTACAAAGAGTTCTTCAGTAACTTAAGAATCTTCAAAGTTCAACAGACGGAACCGTTTCTATAAAGCATTTCCAGCTCGTTAAACACTAATCTATTTTAAACCAATATGATCTATAGTTTCATCAACTTTACTCTTTAACCAGAACAAGCAGAAATCATCATGAAAGTGTGTGAGATCGTTTTATTTAACAGCACAAATGTTACGTTTCTGTTTTGCTGTCCAACTTCCTGATGGGAGACAGTGGCGCTCTAATCAATACTGATCGGTTACCTTAACTTCTGTAAATCCATATATATACACCAAACCAAAATCTCACACCTTTAGAGTTTTGAGGAGGAGGAACTGTGTGAAATGGTTTCTACGTCAGATTGTTCATGATTTGGGCCTTCTTGTAATTCGGCAAACTTTACACATTAGTTATGTCCAGCTTGTTGGTTAGACGGCGGTCCAACTTCCTCCACTGCGTCCACAGAGCGTCCCTCCTGCATGGCTGCCAACAGCGCAGGTAAAAGAGACGAGCTAGTGTGTCTAAACTGAGAAACAGGACAGTAATAATGGGCACTGACTTAATACCAGCTGTGACTCCAGCCAGACAAGATCAGCTAATGATAAACGTTTGTGTCCTCACAATGAGGAGTCAGAGTCAGGAGAGTAAAACCCTCACAGACACATGAACAGCAGGAATTTAAGGGAACATCACTGTTATTACTATAATCACACACAGTGGAGCCCTTTAATATCATTTAAATAAAGGGAACTAGTTGACTCAGATCTCACCTGAGACCAATGTTTGTTCTGGATGTTCAGGGTTTGTTTTCAGATTCTGTTAAACCACCGTGTCAGCAGACCGTGTGTGTGTGTGTGTGTGTGTGTGTGTGTGTGTGTGTGTGTGTGTGTGTGTGTGTGTCATTGCTAAACACGAGTCAGCTATGTTTGTACCTGCATCACTGTTATGTACTATTTAGACACACACACACACACACACACACACACAAAAGGTTACTTATGTCACTTTTGGGGACAGTACACAAGCTGCACCCACACAGGACCTCAGGTGATTTGTAATAATTGCTTAAAATTCCACCAACCATCTTTCATCAAACACAGACATCCTGTACAAATAGAGCTAGAGACTTACATTTATTCTATGGAGACCCTAACTATAACTAATCTGCTTTTTTCTAATTGGGGATGTGACTTTCGTCCCCATTTAACCGATGTTTAGACATGAATGTGCCCCTGAGGTAGCCTAAGTCAGACGCACACACACCTGCAGCCAAGGACTGTGGAACCGGTTGAGCCGGAGTCCGACCTACGTTTCAACATCAAACAAGTAAAAAAAATACATTAAACTTCTTCTGTAGCCGCTTTTTTTAATAGACTATACAGTTTGTAGTAGCCGAATATTTAACACTCTGTGGCCAAGGCCCGTGAGAAAGCTACGTATCGGCTAACTGTAATTGCTAATTGTCGTGTAATATAAATCAAACTTTTCCCATTTTCCCGACCAATTTGAAATGCGTTCCGCGGTCCTTGCCGATCAGGGTGCTGGATCACTGACAGAAGGATCTTATCTGATGCAGCTAAGATCAAATAGAGCTCTTGGAACCTGCAGAACGAAAACAAAATGTAAAACAAATCGTCTTCAAAGAAAGAGAAACACATGCAGGTTGAGTGAAATCAGCCAAACAAAACTTTACATCAATCAAACACCTGCATTAAAACAACTTCTGTGAATGTTTATTTTAAATATGTTTAAAACTCTGAAAATGGCACTTAGACAATCTGGATTCACTTTACATTTAGTTAAGAAACAAATATTTTTGATGGTAAAGATGTGGCTCCACCTTGTGGCAATTCAAAATAATAAGAAATCAATATGAGACTGTATGTTAGTCATATAGGAATATTCACAAAAATCAGATAGTGTTTTTTATCATTGTACAAACACTGTTAGTCCAAGCAAAGAGCTTTTTAATAGTTCTCCAAATAATTAAATAAATAAAAATTGTTCTCTTTTTAATTCCTAAAATGTCCAAAAGAAAACCTATAATACAGAAAAATGTCCATCACAAGTCTTCAGATGCCAGTCCAAAAGAGAGATTCAATTTACTGTGATAGAAAACAGTGAAAAGCACAATATGAACTGCTTTAATCCAGCTTTTTCTTTAAGAGAGCCCTTTTCTATCAATAAATAAACTAACTATATTTTCTGTATATTTCATATTATATTAAATAATAACAAACTGTACAATGAACCCAAACAGTGAACACGATAAGTTTGTGTAAAACCAGCGATGTGGAGCAGATTATTTCAGTGAATATTATAAAAAGTAAATACTCAAGTACTTTTTCAGTAAATGTACTTTTGTCCAGCGTGTTGTTTAACGTACTTCCTGCAGTGAGTTCAGGTGCATCAGAGTGTTTGACCTGAGTTTGACTCTCTATTGTCTTCATGCATTCTGGTTTCTTATGTGAGCATGCCGATCTGAGACCTGCTAACAGATACATATCAGTCGCTCTGCACTGAAGGTTTGCAACGGAGCGTCAAACACCATCAACACGCTCCGTTCTGCTGTTGTACGAATATAAGTCCTGTTATCCTCCCGAACAGTACGATGATTATCAAGGCGATAATGTGTTCTGTGCGTCAGCAAATAAAAATAAACACATCATTTATACCTGATGATATTAAAAACTCTACAGGAGGCACAGAGGAGACAGGATTGAGGTCTATAAGCTTGTGGACAGAACAAAGAGCTGCCATCCACTTTGGTTGTTTCGGTTTGTAGGGTCTGGTGTTTATAATCCACAAAAAGGTTTAATAAATTCAATAAATAACTCAGTGATGGACGGTCTTTGAGATATACAGTATGTTCCAGGTTGTTTTCATTCTAGAATATGTTTTAAAGATACTTGAAAGTTTGAGCCAGCTGGGATGTTTTGTGGTTCAGACAACCCATGTAGAGAACAAGGGTTATTATGAAATCAAGTGTTTGTCTGAGCTCCTGTTTAGAGAAAACTCTCCATCTGACCTCTGTGTTTGTGTGTCTCTGTACACGTACACAGTGTACACACTATCAGTGGTTGTGTGATGCTGCTGCTGAGGGTAAGGCACTTAATGATGTACTCTGATGAGATAACAGTCTGTTATATAAACTAAAGGAAGAACTGGTCCTGTTTCAGTTTGGTGCAGCGTCTGAAGACAAAACTTGTGGTCTTCATTGGAACTCTCGCTGATGGTCATGAGCTCCAGATAGTAACCAAAAACTTCCTTCATGGTGTCAGAGCTCAACCTAGAACTGGGAAATGAACAATAAATTATCCATCCTGTCATTTCCTGCCACTTATCCAAGTCCAGATGTTGGTGGTAGTCTTCTCCAAACTGGATGTGCCCAAACTTCTTTGGTGATCTTGAGGCACCCGATTAAATGCTGAACCACCTCAGATCTTTGAGCTCTTGTGTCTCAGTCTAAAGACCTTTCAGACGTTGAGCAGTTGCTGATTGGTAACATCACAGCTCCCTTTCTCAAAAAGGGTCTTCTAGTTTGTACGGTCTCTGTATCTTTGAAGAGGTTACCATAACACCTGACAGTTTACTGATTTGAACCGGTTCTCGATTTCCATCTCTAGACTCAACTTAAGCAAATTAAGTTTGTCCAGCGCAATGAAGCAGGCTCACGAAACTCAGATCAAACAGTTAAACTAGGCA